CCTGGCTGCCAAGAATTGTGGTTAGACCCTCAAAAATCACTTTCTTCTTGGCAACTTATCCCTAATGAGTTTTCACCCCAAGGGTTCGCATTAATGGGAAAGAAAATTTTGAAAAATGAAGGTTCAAGCCGTGCGGCCCCCACAAAGGGAGTTTCCGTAGGTAAGTAGCCGTTGTTATCGGCGATTCCGCAAACTAGAGACATACGGACGACCCTGTTCGGGGGAGGTTAACAAAGAACCATCAACGGGCAGCCCGTCGCCTCCAGATGGTGATGTTTGTTCAACGTAGTACTACAAGCTGTATTTGTGCAAGCTGACCGTCCTAGCAGCAATTCCATTTGGAGGCTTTCCAGGGTTTTGAGACCTACGAAGGGCTAATTATTAGGGGTGAGGGGAACATTCAAAGGGTTTCTTGTGCATAACTGGTAGGACGTATTGGAATAGAACCACCGCACTCCTAATTGGTTCTCACACCCCCAGAGCTCCTTCAGACTGAGGCAGAGTCTCGATAACTCTAAATTTACCCAAGAACTCCCTTCCTACCTCTATGTTATCAGCGCCCTTACTTGGTTGAATCAAACTGATTCCCCAGAAAACGTCAATCAATCCGTCGCTTTGGTGGGGCCGGAATCGGACTTTTCTCTTCTCCAGAGCGGTGGACATCTCCTGTGGCTTTTATAACACCCCAAATTGATTCTGCTCGGACGAGGGTGGCATTCTTAGATTTACTTTCACACCATAATCACATAAATCAGGCTGAATCTGTGCAGCCAGCTATCTTCAGTGGCCTTGATTTCTCCCATGTAGGTGTTTCTGAGCACAGAATTTTCGGAACCACTGGGAAATCCAGTCGACAGTCTTCTTTAGCAAGTCCCTGTCCTCAATCCTCCCTAATTCGTGGTTTATAGAAGGCATAAGTGCTGTTTTGAGAAATGTTTTTTGGGAACCATTTTCGGAGCTATTGAGCTTAGAGGGGGCATGTTGCAGTTTCGCTTGTTCTTTCTGTTTGCTAATGTCAGCGCAGGTCTCACTTTGGTCAGACCTGTAAAGTAGTGTCAAGCTGCAATATTGTTCTAAATGAGCTGTATTGATTGCAGAACATTAGAGGTCTTCACACGTGCTCTGTAGATTCTTAGCTGAATACCATTTGGTGCCCCACCGAGCCGAACTGTGCCCTATTTTCTTTCGTACCAGAGCTTGAGAAGTTTCGGAGTCCCACCGTATCCCTCCATGGAGTCTCCCCTCATTCGATTTCCTAACTGAAATTTTCCTCTCATTTCGAACCCTTCCTCTTGCGCTACCGCTCCTCGTGAGATTGTTACTGGTATATGTAATGCCCAATTGCCTTGACGATTGAGCAGGTTTAGGTAAGGGCATTGTGGTCAGGGGAAACAGGCGCTCCTTGAAGGGTAAACATATTCCACTGCCATTTCCCCGAAATTCCAGAGAGTGAGCTTCCACTATTAGGAGCTCTAGTACTCGTCTGGGTAGGTAGCTGGCCTAGGGTTCACCGGGAATGGGAAGAATAGCCCTTTTTAGGCCCTCAGAAAGCATGAAACTACCTATCTCACCTCGATCCCTCATTATTATCCTCAATACGGAGTCAGTTCTATAATTTCCATCTGAAGCACTTTTCTGTGGCCATCAGAGGCTCGTCAAGGGCCCTCATCTTAGCAGACAGGTGACCAGATCGTCGATTTTGCAGCTCAGACCTGGTGGCGCCATCGGTGTGGTCAATACTACCTGACACCTCCACCAAGGACATGCCAGCACCGACTGGTCTAGTGGCTATCACCGATCCAACATCTGCTTTCAGTACGTTCCATATACCTATTTTATTGGCGATTTTCAGCACTGATTTTCCATTTTTCAGCGCAAAATCCCTATTACAATAGCGGATATGGAGCCGGTGGTTATGGTATGTACGGTGGAACCACGGCTACTGCCTCGTACTACCAGCAGGT